TGCATTTCAGTACCGCCTACCACCCCCAGACGGACGGACAGAGTGAGCGGACGATTCAGACACTCGAGGACATGCTTCGAGCATGTGTGTTGGACTTCGGAGGAAGTTGGGACACGTACTTGCCGTTGGCTGAGTTTTCCTACAACAACAGCCACCATTCGAGTATTGGTATGCCTCCCTTCAAGTTGTTGCATGGTAGGAGGTGTCGGACTCCCATTTGCTGGGGAAAGGTAGGACAGCGTGTGATGGGTAGCACTGAGATAGTGCTTCAGACGACAGAGCAGATACAGCAGGTTAGACAGAGGTTATTGACGGCTCAGAGTCGTCAGAAGAGTTATGCGGATAGGCGACGATCCGAGCTTGAGTTCCAAGTGGGAGACTTCGTACTCCTGAAAGTGTGTCCTTGGAAAGGAGTGATCCGATTCAGGAAGAGGGGCAAGCTGGGGCCCCGGTATATCGGGCCATTTAGGGTGACCGCGAGGGTGGGCAGGGTAGCTTTTCGGTTGGAGCTACCTGAGGAGCTGAGACAGATTCATGATACCTTTCACGTGTCTCAGTTGAGGAAGTGTATAGCCGACGAATCGGCGGTGGTACCCCTGGAGGATATTCAGGTGGATGCGAGCCTGAATTATGCTGAGAGACCAATCGCGATCCGGGATCGGAAGATCAAGGTTCTGAGGAACAAGGAAGTGTCCCTGGTGCAGGTCTAGTGGCAACATCGGAAAGGGTCCGAGCTGACCTGGGAGCCGGAGTTGGAGATGCGGGAGCAGCATCCAGAGTTGTTTGCCGAGCAGGACTTCGAGGGCGAAGTCTGATTCTAATAGGGGAGAATTGTAACATCCGGATTCCCAGGTATCTTATTTTAAGTATTTATATTGAATTTTAGAGAGGGACTCGGCGAGTAGGCGCTCAGACTCGCCGAGTGGGATCGCGCATTTCTGGTCTGATTTAATGAAGGACTCGACGAGTCGATGCGTGGACTCGGCGAGTCCGTGCTGTTAAGTGAAACCCTAATTCTCGGGGCCTGTGCCCTATTTAAAGGCCTTTATAGCCTCCATTGCGGCCACTTCACCCCTGAGAAACCCTAGAGAGAGAAAGAGAACGTTTGTGGTGCAAGAGGAAGGCTAATTCACCATTTCTTGTGTGTTTTAGCAAAAGAGAAGTAGTTTCCAACAAGAGGAGGTCAAGGGAGATGTGGATCCAGGGTTTTTAAGTTCAGATCTACACTATTGAGGTATCAAATCGAACTTCCCTTTTGTTTTGGGTTAAGATCTATGATTTAGGGTTTTCTATAAACCTTTTTAGGCTTGAAAGGTTGAGGTTATGGTCCCTTGCTGGGTTAGACCTCAGATCTGGACCCATAGAGGTCCAAAGAACCTTTCCCATTCTGCTTTATGCTTGTTCATGGAGGATTGGAGACTAGGTTGCCATTTTTAGAGTTATTTCTCCATTTATGACTTGATGTGGGTTGCATGCACATAAAGTTTGCACCTTTACGTGACCTTTGAGCACTTGAAGGCCAGATCTATAGTTTCGAGAAGCAGATCTGACCTCAGAAGGTCATTTGAGAGTTGTTATGGGAGCAACTCGCCGAGTCCATAAGTGGACTCGACGAGTCGAGTCGGGGTTGCCCTGCGATTCGTGACAGGTGTAACCCGTCGAGTGGAAGGACGACTCGACGAGCCAAGAGAGGCTGAAAGGATTCAGAGGACCCGCATGGACTCGCCGAGTCGCCCTTGTGCACTCGACGAGTCGGGTCAAAGTTTGAACGTTGACTTTCGTTGACCTTAGGGTTCTGGTCAAGACTGATTCAAGAGAGTTCAGGGAAGGGTACAATGGCCTTCTACCCAATCTGTAGAGATGAGATCACGAGAGAATATTGATCGGGGATGTTATTTGAATAATAGGAGGAGGCTAAGTCGGGACGTTGAGCACGAAAGTTTATCCGACTTCATTGAGGTGAGTCTTCTCACTATACTGTACCTGGAAGGGTACCTATGTGTGACCGGAAGGTCTTATATGCTATGAGATGTATGAGCTGTATGTTGTTATGTGATATGTATGTGTTATGTATGTTATGTACGATAAGGACCGGAAGGTCAAGATGATATGGACCGGAAGGTCAAGATGATATGGACCGGAAGGTCAAGTGGTTATGGACCGGAAGGTCTATCGGGATTCGGGACGGAAGTCCCCTGAGACACATAGATCGGAAGATCCTACAGAGTTATGACCTGGAAAGGAGTATGTGTTGTATGTGGTATCTTGGGGAACTCACTAAACTTTTATGCTTACAGTTGTTATATTATGTGTTTCAGTAACTAGTGATGATCGCGGGAAGGCGCCGGCATGATCCGTACACACTTATAGAGTTTATGTTATTGAGATTCCGGGACATGTTTTATTATTACACAGTGGATACATTATGTTTTGTGATTATCGTGTGATTGAAACTATGATTTAAAAATGAAAAATTGTTTTGGAAATTTACGTTGTTACAAATTATATAAACTTCCAATCACATTTAAAATAGAAAACTTGTTTGCCTATTTTTAATGAATTACTCTTAAGTTCACTTCGTTTTATAGAAAATAACATGAAAAGTGTTCTTTACCCTCAAACACCAGCCTACAACTTAAATCCAGTAAAAACTAATGAAATACTCATCCAAATAGAGAAAAGTCACGTCCATATTCAATCAAATATAGTTTATTCTTATGAATTAATCAAACATAATAACGGAACTTGACGTGTTGTAGGGTATTAAAAACTTACACACATGGATGGTTGGGAATTGATAATGAAATTTGAACATAATCAGTTCAACGAAATTTGAATAAATCGAGAATCACTCCGGAACATAAAGTCTTGAAAGGTATTCCTAAATTTCAGACATGATAGTGGGATATTGATATTGAAAAAAAAACATGTCTATCGAGTCAGAATTGTTTTGATTGAAATTAGGGGTTTGTATCATATTAAACAAAATTTAATGAAGTTAAAATTTGTTGTGGGAGTGTAGATAAGCGCAAGTACGTATATATAAGTTAACGGTTTTCAATGTATCGTGCATATATAGTTAACGGCCTCATACGTGTGTATAAAATAACCATGCAAAATAAACATGTATTCAAATTTTAGTAGATTATATTAATTGGTTTGGTCAATATTTCTACTTATGTAATGTGTTCATAACTTTTATGTTTTTTTTTCTTTTGCACCTAGACTATCTTTTTCATATTCTATTATACCACTAACGTTCCTACACGACATTAAAAGAGTATATTACCCTTATCATATTATTTTGAATTTGTCTAATTCTTATTATTTTTATTTTATTTTGAGATTCACCATCAACCCTACTCCACTATGGCATCCACAACAATTCGTTGGCAACCAATTTGTTCTTCACCCCGACACAATTCTTCCATATATCAAATTTCGTTATAAAAACAAATTAATATAATTTATTTGTGTCGCACTCATCCCCAACTTATTTTTATGTTTTGAATATAATTATTTTATTTAGCAAATGTCGTTGTTTTAAAAGATTAAAATAATTCGAATTAATAATGTAGTTGGTTATATTTTTGTAATAATATATTTTATTAAGCTTATATCACACAAAAAATGTAAATAGATATATTGAAAGCTAATAATCAAAGGATATTTTTGACAATCTATATAAATCTAAAAAAGGGAACTTACTGTGGGATATATATTTAGCGCAAAAAAATGGTGTACAGTAAGGTGAAATAGTATTATGACAATTTTTTACACTATTCTGATGTAAAAAGTTAGCGTCGGACTGTGAAATTTAAAGACACTCGAATCTATAAAATTGCTAGCACAAACATACATGATAGAGATAGAAATATAATTACAAGATAACTAAGAAGTTGGAATCAAATTTTAAAATATTGAAAATTGAATAGTAAACCGCACCATCTCAACGGCACGTGTCAACCCGCATCAAAGCCTAGGTACGGGGAACGTTAATTGCGGAATACTAGTCAAAGGACTCTTAATGTCAATTGTTCTATATTTGTACCAAATGTATATGTACAGCTTGATATACAGTACATTTACTTTGATGCAAGAACCAAGGGGTTAAAACGTCATATGATAAGTTCATGATTAATTATATGTGGAATGATGAATAATGTTAGGTACTAATTAAGAAATATGGAGTATCAGTTATATTAACTTGATTTTACCTGCATGTGTAATATACAAGAGAAATATGCGGCTAGATTGGTAAAAGTTTGAAACTATTATTTTTACAGAATCAATGGAAAATATTTTCTCCAAATAAAAGAATAGTGGCTGTGATTTTAGATATACTTTATAAATCAACAATGAGACAAAATTAGACACAACGTGCACCATAATGGACAAAATTGCCCTAATAATATTGTTGACGCTTCCAAAGCAGTGTGGAAGGCGTTAGGGGTATCCGAGCATAACTGGGGAGATTTGGATATTACTTGGACAGAGTGATGTTAATCTAGCTCTCCTTTTAAAACATCAAATACTATTTCTGTTTCTGTTTCTTGTGGATATTGTAATCTGTAAAGTTATTGATGTAACTATATATACTAATGACTAGAGGTTCACACCAAACTTATCAGCACCAATCCATTCAAACCTATATATAGATATACTATGTTATACAGATATTAACGTACCTTTAGATGTATATGGATTCAAACAACAACCGATATGACACACAGAGACACAAAAAACCATTCAGTGCTATAATCTTTCATGGTAGAATCAATTCCACAACAAAATTTTTGACTACTTTTTCCAACTCATATGAAGCAGCCCTACAAATAGACTTTACCACGAACACAATAATAAAAAAATTATGTATTTACACATTCTAATTCCCTTTATGCAATCAGACAACACCCCGCACCATAATCACGGGCGACACCAACCCGTAACAGACTCGACCTGATTATTATCAAAACAAAACCACAATAGCAGTAAAATAATCACCCACAGGTATTCGCAACACCGACAGCTTCTTGATTTGATACCACATGCCAAATCCCAGCACATCTGATAATCATAAACTCATCATCTTCGCGGAACACCATTTGTCTCACTTCTTTTTTTCTAAGAAGGGATGATTTTCTAACCGATTGGTAACTCCATATGCCCAGCCTCCTAGGGCCCGCATGACCGCCAGCTCACAGTTGAGATGCCCCTCTTCAGTATACACACCTAATTCTTCCACTCTCTTCTTCTCATCTAAATAACGTGGCATATCTTCTTGTGACAATGGAATTGCGATTCCATTCCGACACAAGACTGCAGTAGATTGATGGAGACAAAACGAAAGCCAGTCGACCATGCTTAAGAAGACTCCCAGTCATGGTTTTCCGCTAAGCGTGTGATTCTCCTAGTAGAATATCAGAATTGATTCATGCTTGTTTTACAAAAACAGTATTTCATGTTTTCTATTTTTGTTCTGGCAAGAGATTCTCGGGAGCATCACTAATGATTGATGCTTTTATAATTAAATCAATATGTGTTTCCACTGTCTTATTGAGCAGAGAGTGAGCGATACTCTTATCTCTTGGAAAGAGGTGATAAAAGACCATTTCTCTTTACTCAAAAGCTTGTGAAAGTTGTCTTCTAAGGGTTTAAAATCTCGAAAACCGGCGTTAACGATTTACAATTGATGTACGAAGATTAAAACAGTTAATGTGGTTGTCCCATAGTAATTGATGATGCTACTTTAGTTAGTGAGGGTTTGGTCAGCTAGTAGAAAGGCTTTGCAATGGGAAGGGTTTACATCCTGTAAAAATGATTAAATTATGTATAATGATTGTGGGGGCTCATAATATTGAAAGAATAATTTCATGGCGTGATTTTTCAATTATGATGTTGTTACGGAGCCGCAATGGCCGTCAAAAATGGCGTAGAAGGAAAATGGAACTTGGAGTGGTCATTCTGACATATGAAGGGATCATTTTCTAACCGATTGGTAACTCCATATACCAGCCTCCTAGGGCCGGCATGACCCCCTGCTCACAGTTGAGATGCCCATATTCGGTATGCACACCTAATTATTCCACTCTCTTCTTTCCATCTAAATAACATGGCATATCTTCTTGTGACAATGGAATTGCGATTCCATCCCGACATAAGATTGCACTAGATTGATGGAGACAAAACGAAAACTAGTCGACCATGGTTAAGAAGACTCTCATGGTTTTCCGGTAAGCGTGTGATTCTCCTCGTAGAATATCACGATTGATTCATGCTTGTTTTACAAAAACAATATTTCATGTTCTCAGGAGAGCATCACTAATGATTGACGCTTTTCTAATTTAAGCAATATGTGTTTCCACTTTCTTATTGAGCAGAGAGTGAGCGATACTCCTATCTCTTGGAAAGAGGTGCTAAAAGGCCATTTCTCTTTACTCTAAAGCTTGTGAAACTTGTCTTTTTTATTAAAACGACATTTATTAGAAAAAAAACAAACAAAAGGCTAGCACGGAGCTAGCAAAAACCAATTACAAGTTCATAGGGAATTGAAGCCAAATATTCGAATCCCTAGAAATTTTACGGTTCCTAACACAATACCAATTAAAGGGATACAATTTAACGGTATCAACAAGAGTATCTTTTCGATATTTTTTAGTGCGAAAGACCATCGCATTTCTATAACCCCATAAGACTCATAACATAGTCATAACAATTGCAAGAGTCTTCTCTTTCTGCATCCCTTGCATCGATAAATCATCCAACCAATCATAAACCTCTTGTAGCGAACCAAACAAAGGCATATGTAAATCCGCCCATCCTGCAATTCGACTCCATAATTGTTTCGCTAACTCACATTTAAAAAACACATGATTTGAATACTCCAAAGTCCTTATCACACATAGGACATCTAGTAGAGGGAATATCAACCCCTCTAATCTCCAAATTAACCCAAGTAGGTAACCTATCCAAAGCAATCCTGCAAACCAAAACATTCACTTTAATTGGCACAAACCTATTCCATCTATACAACACATTACCCATGGGAAGCAAAACATCATCTAAATGATTACGAAGAGAGCCAACAGTAAAATAATCCAAGTTACCTAACTCCCATCTCCAAGCATCCTTGTTATTCGAACATTTAACATCCTGTAACTCCTCCAGCAACATTTGTAGTTGTTCCGCCTCAATTCCTCCCCTAAACTCCCTGCGCCATTGCAAGACCTAGTCTTCACCATTCCAGTAGTCGCTCACCACCCCTTCTTTAGCCAACGAGAGCGCATAAAGTCTATCATATTTGATTTTAAGACTTAAACCATCCCTCCATTTATCCCACCAGAACCGAATATCCATACCATTACCAAGTTGTCTTCTCATACAAGAATCACTAAAATTACCAATACGATGAAGTTTGAAAATAGCATCTGTAATGTTCCTCCAAACTCCCATGCCACGCACCCGACCATCAACTCCAAAAGTCTGAAATTGACTACCATGACAAGTTTTTATAACTCTAACCCATAAAGTGGCAGGATTGGTGCAAAATCTCCATCTCCATCTATACAAAAGAGCATTGTTAAGGGATGCTAAAGATCCCACTCCCAAACCACCATTATCCTTTGAATTCAGAATTAAGTCCCATTTCACCCAACTTATCTTCTTCTCATTGGAATCAGCCCCCCAGAAAAATTTAGCTCTAATTTGTTCCAACATTTTGACAATCTGGCCTGGCATTTTAAATAAAGACATGTAATATATACCCAAACTGCCCAACACAACACAGACTTTAATAACGTTAACCGCCCACCAATTGAAAGCATTCGAAGCTTCCATCTGGACAACATTTTCATGAACCGATCCACAATTACCCTCCAACCAGCAACTCCATTCATATTCTCACCAATAGGTAACCCTAAGTAAACAAAAGGCAATGAAACCGAACTACAACCTGTCAAATTCGATAAAGCCTCACAAGTTTGGCTCTCAACACCGACCGCCGCCAAATTTGACTTAGAAAGATTTAACTGTAAACCCGACATCATATAAGGGTTTAAAATCTTGAAACCGGCGTTAATGATTTACAATTGATGTACGAGGATTAAAACAATTAATGTGGTTGTCCTACAGTAATTGACGATGCTACTTTAGTTAGTGAGGGTTTGGTCGGGTAGTAGAAAGGCTTTGCAATGGCAAGGTTTTACATCCTTTAAAAATAATTGAATTATCTATAATGATTGTGCGAGCTCATAATCTTGAAAGAATAATTTCATGGCGTGATTTTTCAAGTATGATGCTGTTACGGAGCCGCAATGGCCGTCAAAAATGGTGTAGAAGGAAAATGGAACTTGGAGTGGTCATTTGGACATATGATGTGTTCATCTTAGTTTGCTTTGCGTCATGGTACCCATGTCTATGTGACACTTCTTGATCTCATGTTTGGGTTGAATCATTATTGTGGGAGGGGGGGAGTATAGTTTTGAGACTGTGTAGACAGCTTACAACGTATAGCAAAACTGAATATATATGCATTCGCCCACGAGATAGAGGCAAATCAAGCAAGATTGACTCTATATATCACGTCTAGTAGGCTAAACAAGATAGCAGGTATGCAACTGAAACAACAAAACTAGCATGTGTAAACTCATTTCAAAGAAATTAATTGTGTTTGTAAAAATAATTAACCAAGGGAGATCCCTTGATTTCTAATGGTTTCGCAATGTTGAGGCCCAATTAAACAAAATTATCTAACATTCAACTGTAATGTATGGAATGGTCTCCACAACAAGCCTTCCATCATGAAACCATAAAGATTTAAATACAACTTTTAACTATGATACATATGATCTCTATAACCTAAATTAATTGTTCTATCGTCTAATTATATAAACTTCCAATCACATTTAAAATAGAAAACTTGTTTGCCTATTTTTAATGAATTACTCTTAAGTTCACTTCATTTTATAGAAAATAACATGAAAGTGTTCTTTACCCTCAAACACCAGTCTGCAACTTAAATCCAGTAAAAACTAATGAAATACTCATCCAAATAGAGAAAAGCCACGTCCCTATTCAATCAAATATAGTTTATTCTTATGAATTAATCAAACATAATAACGGAACTTGACGTATTGTAGGGTATTAAAAAATTACACACATAGATAGTTGGGAATCAATAATGAAATTTGAACATAATCAGTTTAACGAAATTTGAATAAATCGAGAATCACTCCGGAACATAAAGTCTTGAAAGGTATTCCTAAATTTCAGACAGGATAGTGGGATATTGATATTGAAAAAAAAAAACATGTCTATCGAGTCAGAATTGTTTTGATTGAAATTAGGGGTTTGTATCATATTAAACAAAATTTAATGAAGTTAGAATTTGTTGTGGGAGTGTAGATAAGCGCAAGTACGTATATATAAGTTAACGGTTTTCAGTGTATCGTGCATATATAGTTAACGGCCTCATGCGTGTGTATAAAATAACCATGCCAAATAAACATGTATTCAAATTTTAGTAGATTATATTAATTGGTTTGGTCAATATTTCTACTTATGTAATGTGTTCATAACTTTTATGTTTTTTTTTTTCTTTTGCACCTAGACTATCTTTTTCATATTCTATTATACCACTATACGTTCCTACACGACATTAAAAGAGTATATTACCCTTATCATATTATTTTGTATTTTTCTAATTCTTATTATTTTTTATTTTATTTTGAGATTCACCATCAACCCTACTCCACTATGGCATCCACAACAATTCGTTGGCAACCAATTTGTTCTTCACCCCGACACAATTCTTCCATATATCAAATTTCTTTATAAAAACAAATTAATATAATTTATTTGCGTCGCACTCATCCCCAACTTATTTTTATGTTTTGAATATAATTATTTTATTTAGCAAATGTCGTTTTAAAAGATTAAAATAATTCGAATTACTAATGTAGTTGGTTATATTTTTGTAATAATATATTTTATTAAGCTTATATCACACAAAAAATGTAAATAGATATATTGAAAGCTAATAATTCAAAGGATATTTTTGACAATCTATATAAATCTAAAAAAGGGAACTTACTGTGGGATATATATTTAGTGCAAAAAAATGGTGTACGGTAAGGTGAAATAGTATTATGACAATTTTTTACACTATTCTGATGTAAAAAGTTAGTGTCGGACTGTGAAATTTAAAGACACTCGAATCTATAAAATTGCTAGCACAAACATACATGATAGAGATAGAAATATAATTACAAGATAACTAAGAAGTTGGAATCAAATTTTAAAATATTGAAAATTGAATAGTAAACCGCACCATCTCAACGGCACGTGTCAACCCGCATCAAAGCC